TGTCTATGTTGACATGTGATGATGTGGTCATTGACAGTGTCTATTGATGTGCAATGATGTGGTTGTTGACAGTGTCTGTTGACACATGAAGATGTGGTCATTGACAGTGTGTTGACATGTGATGATGTGGTTGTTGACAGTGTCTGTGTTGATGTGTGATGATGTAGTGCGTGGTGGTATCTGTGTTGACACAATAATGTGGTCGTTAACAGCATCTGTGTTGATGTGTGATGGTGTGATCATTGACTGTGTTGATCTGGTTGTTGATGATGTGGTTGTTGATGGTGTGTGTGTTGACGTGAGATTTGACAGTGTCCGTGTTGATGTGTGTTGACGTGAGATTTGACAGTGTCTGTGTTGATGTGTGATGATTTGGTCATCTCTCCCTGTGTAGGTTTTAGGGTTAAGGAGTAAATAGCTGAGAGTGGAGAGATGTGTAGTTGATGGCTGAACCAAAGATCTCTTCTCACCACTTTGCTCTTTCCTTTCAGGTGTTTGGCAACCAGCTCATTCCGCCCAACGCACAAGTGAAGAAGGCCACCGTCTTCCTCAACCCCGCAGCGTGCAAAGGGTGGGTGAGCCTGATTCTGGCTGCACACGCTCCCTTCTTATAGGGAGGATGATCATTGCCACACAGGCAGCGAGTGAGACGGTGTGGGCTTGGCAGAGGGAGGGCCAGCATGCCTCCAAAGGCAGGGTTTGGCTATAAAGTAGACATGACATTGAGGCAGAACTAGAAAACTCACGGATGCTTCACACTAGTTGGGTCTAATTAGGGTTTAGTAATGATTTCTGAATTAACACGGCAAAGATGCCTTATCCACTTGGAAGTGGTGCCATAGGACCCACTTCTCTGTTGATGGGAATCCTTCCTGCAGTCCTTCTGTGCCATTGATGGCCTGGGGTTCTAGTTCACCCAGCAGTGCCCAGCGGGTACAGCCCTGGACAGCACAGCTCTCGGCACTAAGGGAGTTGACCATTCAGCAGCCATTCACCAGGTCAGACACTGCTGCGGGCATTTTCTTCCAGAAGGGGGCCTGGCGCTAGGCTGGAGGAGGCTGGGAGTGGACAGAGGGGGACACTTCCCCTTCTCGGCCATCATTGGCCACCTAGTGTGATGCCACAGGGCTCTCCAGACTGGACTGGTGACCCAGAACTCAAAGGGTCTGTGGGCTGAAGGTTGGGGAGTGGTGGGCTGGCTTGCAGGTGGCCAGGCCCAGGCTCTATGGAGGGGCAGCTGGGGTCTGAGCTGACACTTGGGATCCTCTGGCCCCAATGATCACACATCCCTGGATATGAGGATAAAGTATGCTCTGCTTTTTAAAAAGAAAATATTTTCTTGTGCTTTGTCTGAAGGTTTCCACAGCCAGTTAGGTGTTAGTGATCCTTACTTCCTTTAAATCACCAGTGTGAGGGTTTTAGCCACACGTTGGCTGGACGGGGTCCCTTCCCTCACCTGTTAGGGCCCTGCTGGCCTAACCTGTTGGCCCCACCTGGCCACCATTCTGGAGTACCCAGTGTCAGGTGGCCTGTGGCATAATGGGGAGCAGGGCTCAGGTGGAGGCACCTGATGTGCACATCATCTTATGGTCCTCAGGGGTCCCCTTACAAACTGTCAGCATCCACACCTGTGAAATTGGAACGTGCAGGTGTGCACCCTGTAAAATCACCATGGAGGGTACGTGGCTTCGTGGTTAATTGAGATAATGCTGAAGTCTTCAGCCTTTTCTCCAGGGCATTGAACACGCACCAGAGGAGACATGTCACCTGCTGGTGTCCCTGTAGGGGAGCTCTGGGAGCACAGTCTGTGGGTAGATGTACTGCTAACCCCAAGGGGGTGCCTCTCGAGTTCAAGTCCACCGGTAGCTCTGCTGGAGAAAGACGGCCAGGCTCCTGTGTGACTTACGGCCTCAGAAAACTCACGGAGGGCCAGCTGTGCGTCTGCAGTGAGGCTTTTCTGAGTGTCGCTGGAGCTAGTGGTACGGTCGTCTTCGCCACTCAGCACTTTGGAGAAGTCCGTGACGGTGGACTTGCCCAGTGCAGTGTGCGTTTTCATTCCTGACTATTGGTACCAAGTGTGTACATTTGGGATCCACGTAAAGTGAAGTCGTTGACAGCAGTGGGTGATGGTCAGGACTCTCAGGATTGTGATCTTGATGCTGCCTTTGATGTCAGTTTGAAGAGTAAGGTACCCTAATTCGGACCATGATCTTTCCAATCACTTGGTTGGCAGAAGAAGGCTAGGTACTTTTGAGTTGTGGTGTCGAAAAAAAATACTGCTTAATCCCTGGAATGCCAAAAAAACCCGAACCGATATGTCTTGGGTAAAATGAAGCCAGAGTGCCCCGGAGGCAAGGATCGTGAAGCCTTGTCTCACCTACTTTGGCACATTGCTAGGAGAGGTTATTCCTTGGGAGGGGACATCATGCTTGGAAAGGTAGAAGGTCGAAGGAAAATTGAGATGACCCTTAACGAGATAGACTGACATACTGACTGTGGCAATGGTTCAAGCATGTTGGAGATCTTGAGGATGGCACAGGATAGGACAGGGTTCAGATGTTGTTCGTAGGGTCACTGTGAGTCATATGTGACTCGATGGTACCTAACAACAGTGGTGCAGTGGTTAAACACTTGGCCACAAACCAGAATTTGGCTCTTTGAACCCACTAGCAGTGGGAGAATGATGTGGCAGTGTGTACCTGTACAGGTGACAGCCTTGGGTGGCCCGTGTGGGGTCGTTCTCTGCAGGGACACACTAGCTGTAAGTTGGAATCTGCTCGGCAGTCGTGGGTGGTGGTCCTTACTCTCATCTCTAAGCCGTTCACCACACATCCTCTCTGCCCCATCCAGGAGTGCTGCCCTTCTCCCTGCCTCAGTGACCCTCCCACATCCTGTTCCTGGAGAGGACACCGTTAACGTGCTCATTTCTGATGGACAAGTGAAGGGCACGTGTGAACTAGCCAGTCATTTGAGATCTTCCGTCTAAGAAGTGTTTGTGTTTCCACGTCTTCATGGTGTTTTTCCAGGGGTTTCTTGTTTACAGCATCTCCACCCCTGAATCTGTTGTCCCCAGATCATCTTTATGTCTTATGCTGAAACTGTCCCTAGAAGCCTTCCTAAAACCAAATAGTAGTTCAGTTGAAGTGAGAGAATGTCTGTCTACGCCCTTTACCACTGTCTGTAGAGGATCAAACCCACAGCAGCACCCCAGCACAACAGATGGGGACCTTAGGAGGCAGTGAGCTCATGTCCGTGGTGGGTGTGGTGGGGGGCAGAGAGTGAGGGTGAGGGTGGTCACAGAACTTGAAGATCATGATCAGTGCCAGGAATCGGTGTCCATGAAGAGGCTGTTGAGTTGGTTGTGCTCTGAAGGACACACCTCAGCAGAAACCACAGAAGTAAAATACATTACAGGAGGGGACAGGACAGTGCTGCGGGGCTGTCACGTGGCCTCTGGCTCCATGACCCCACATTCACAGCAAGGGTTGTAGCACAGGCTCTCAAAGCTGTCACCTCCCAGATACAGTTCGGTAGACGTGTCTTAGGAGGCACCAACCTTCCTGCTAGTAGTGGGTGCTTAACGGTTGGTGCCACACTGGGATTCCTAATGTGTGATGTGGTGTGGTGGCAGGTACCATCAAGTTGATCATGACTCATAGGGACCCTATGAACAAGAGTTCTGAACCCTGCCCTGTCCAGAGCCAGCCTTGCCATCTCTGACAGTCCTGCTGCATCTCATCCAGAGTCTTCCTCTCCTACGCTGACCCTCCACCCTTCCAAGCATTATGTCCTCCAGGGACACGTTCCTCCTGACAGCTTGCCTAAAGTGTGTGAGACGGAGCTTCACCTTGCCTCCAAGGAGCAACCTTGTCCTCCCTTTCCGGGACAGACCTGTTTCTTCTCTTAGCAATCTGTGGTATGTTCGGTACTCTTCCCCAGCAACACAACTCAAAGGCATCGGTTCTTCAGTTATCTTTAGTCATTACCCATCGCACAGATTCGTAGCAATCAACTAAGAAGACCATGGCCTGGATCAGGTGCACCTTAGTCTCTAGACTGACATCGTTGCCCTTTAGCACTCTGGAGAGGTCCTTGACAGCAGATTTTCCCAAAGCAACTCATC